ATAAATTAAATTTATCATGATTAATAGTAAACCACGGAGGCACGGCGCACGACTATGGTCTAATATTATATGACTAAATAAATTTAATACAATTTAACTAATTTATTCAGTCATTGTCTAATATAAGCAATAGCGTAGTGGAGTTCCTTCATTGATTATTAAAACATTTTTTTTTTTTAAATGCGTACTTGTAGCGTTAAAGGATGCACTAGTACAAAAAACAATCYCACGATTTCCTTTTTTAAACCTCCAAAAGCCAATTATTTAACTTGRAAATTAGCAGTAAGTAAYGCTAATTGTGAGGAGACAGTTGTAAAATATGTATGTGCTGAACATTTTCGTCCTGATGAAATATTAAATAACTATTTGGTACCACACGATATTCCCAATGTAAGTATTACTTTATTATGCTTTTATTTAATTTTGTTGATACATAGCTATTTGATTTTTTTACGTTTTAGAAATTTGGAAACAGTGATCGCAATAGATTAAAAAGGGGGATTGTTCCTTCCATTTTTCCTCTTGTTCAAGAAAAAAGTAATGATATTTTATCTYCCATCAACAATTCAAATTCTGATCACAATTATGCCAAGTGTTCAAGTAATCAAGTTAATAAATCGGTCCGGAGAGAGTTATTCATTGAACCGTATGAGTTAGATGAAGAGCTTCCAAATAAACGTTTAAAATTATTTGAAGTAATGCTTTTAGTCATTATTTTGGTATTTAATAAATCTTGTATATACATTATAATAGCAATTTTTACATTTAAACTTTATTTCTTTAGGATACGATTAATGAGATACTAACATTTAATGACTTAACAATACATTTTAAAAAAGCCGTATTACCAGAAGGGTGGATAACACATTTTAGTCATCATGAAATTGTTTTTTATAAACCACAGTTCAATGATGGTAAAATGAAAATTGAAAAACAATTAGTTTTTAAAGGTACATTGGAAATATGTGTATATGTTCACCAATTTACTACTGAAATTAAAAAAATAAGCAACACATTAAAATATCCAATTAGCTTAAGAAAACTGTCTCAAGCAATTAGGATACTTGATCTAAAAAATATTTGTGTAGGTGGTCCAAGATCAATAGATTTTCCAGGTAAACATTATTCTTTAATCTTTTTGATATTACCATTAAAATGCAATCGAAAATTGATAGATTATTTGCTGATTATATGATATTTAGGAGTTCGGATAAAAACTGCAACCTTGGATAATAATCAATTCTGGCGTCACCAAAAATGTACAATTTTTACTGAGAATAAAAAATGTACAGCTTGTAAGAACTTGACTAAATGTTTTAGAAATTCGTTGATTAAAGAAAAAAAATCAACAYATATTGGATGTACTCTAACACCAACCAGACGTAGAATATTAAAAAATATTAAAAGTAGTAAAAGAAATTTGCAAAAATCAAATTCAAGGTAACATATAGCATTCAATAAATTGCATTTACACTTATGTAAGTTTTTAAACTTATTTGAATACATAATTAGGATGTATAATTTTAGGTTTCATTTAAATTATATGAATTTATTGTAAGGCTGGTATTGATTCATTATTTGCAGGTTACAGACTATTATTAAAGATATCAACTTTGAATTAGAAGAACTACAAACAAAAACAAATACAATATCAAATGACTCTATACAAAATATCTTAGACTCCGAAAAGTTAAGTAATCCTCAAAAAATTTTAGTCAAAGAAATAATAAATACAAGTAAACATGGACAAAAACAAAATCGAAAGTATTCTGAAGATTGGATACTTTTATGTGTTTTGTTAAAAATAAACTAATTTCATGAAAATATTATAATGTATTGTGAGCACCAAAATTGTAACTACACTGAATAAGCGGTTTCAGTTTGAATTGTAAGTTATTAATGTTTCTCAAAATACTTAGTAAATATTGAATATAACCATTTTAATAATCATAGGTACAGTTTTGGCTCAGTTAGTCATAAAAGCGATTTGCCTTCTTGAGAATGCTGGTGCTAAGGTGGATGGATTAGTGTCAGACGGAGCAACTAGTAATAGAAAATTATGGTCTGAACTGGGAATAAGTGGTGAAAAAGATACTTTAAAAAACAAATTTAACCATCCTTTGGACGATAAAAGACATATTTACGTGTTCTCTGATGCACCACATCTTCTCAAGAATGTACGGAATAGATTATACAACAAAAAAAGTTTAAGAGTAAATATCTTATCATTTTATGCATTATAAAAATGATTTAAAACCTAATACTCTCAAATAATTTATAGGAATCACCAAAAAAACTCTATATTAGATGGAATGATTACGTTGAAGTCTTTAACAATGATTTGAAAAATAGTTCTGATGCACCAACTAAAGTGTGCCCTAAAATCACACATGGGCATATATTAATTGATAGTTTTAGTAAGATGAATGTTAAACTGGCTGCACAAGTGAATATGTTTTAATAGATTTTTATTGAACAGTTTTATCAATATTATTGTCAATACATTTATGTTTTATTTAGATTTTTAGCAACTCAATGGCCAGAGGAATTGAATTTTACAGGGAGTATGCTAAAATAGAGAGCTTAAAAAATAGTTATGAAACACAATCATTCACTGATCGATTTAACAAATTTTTTGATGCTTTAAATCGAAAACACCCTGCAGAGGGCATACAAATAAATAGCAAAGACTTTGAGGTTTTCTAGATAAAATACAATTATAATAAATAGCCCAAATGTTCTGTTTTTATTATAAATTTATATTATTTATTTAATTAGATTTTAGAAGATAATCTTAAATGGCTTGATAWTTGGGAAGACCAACTAAATAAACAAAATATTTCCAAAGATGAATTTTTAACTAAATCAACTGCGGATGGTTTAAGGGTCACTATCAAGTCAACTATTGAACTATCAAAATATTTATTGGAGGAATGCAAATTTAAATATGTTTTGTCTGCTAAATTTAATCAAGACCGACTAGAAGTAAAATAAGAACTGAATTTTTAATATAATAGTAATTACTAATTATTAGTAACAATATTATTAGTTTTTATTAGTTTTGCCAAATTCAATTGAAAAGTTCTTACCTTAAAAAGATACACAAAAATAGAATTTAAAATAAATATTTTAAAACTAATAGTATAGTTGCTACATACATAATATTATAATATATTATACACACTTATTACATTTATTGTATTGTTAACTAGCAATTCTTTGGTATGGCTAGACAGGTCAGTGGGCCGAACGACCAGGGGTGTTCAACCACATTTTTGCAAATTTATTAGACATTATCTGTATATTCAATATTAAAACCGCCTAAAACCGGTAATTGTATGATTTTGGATGATACAACACCCAAAATTACAATTAATGATCTGAAAACCGTATTTAATGACAATACAGCTGAGCGTACTTCAAAGCTTAACTCATTGAAAAGTAAATTGGATTCATTAGCTGTAAAAAAAAAAAAACAGATATAAATACTGTTTTTGATGAAGACATTCATAATTATTATAAAGCTGACATAAAAKATTGTGTAATTTATTATATATGTGGATATATCACAAAAAGTTTCTCAAAATCTATTACATGTGATATATGCAGGACTGCAGTAATAGGTACTGTGTCTATACATACATTTTATCTAAATAAACTGTTGGAATTTTGTTTGTTTTTAGGTAAAAGRTGTTATTCAGAAAAACCAGAAGCTGCCCTTATAAACTTGAAATCAAGAGRTGGTTTGACTCATYCTAATAAATTCATATTCAAAATATTGTCAAATGTTGAAAATTCATTTCAACATTGATGTTTTCGATTTAACTATTGCTCATTTTTTGGAAAATTATGATCCAATAGATTTTCCATGTACTCATCATAAAAGTGAAGTACTAATGTTCATAATATCTCAATATATTATTATGAGAATGCGACAATATACGCATATGATAAACTCAAACCAAATTAAAAAAAATGCAAATAAAAAAAAAATATTCGAAACTTGTAAATACCTGAAAATAAAAAAATTGTAATTGGTAATATTGGTA